GGGGAAAGAACAGGAGGAAGGGAAGGAACAATAGCCGCCGCGCTGCCGGCTGTAACGAGCATCCCATCTGAGCGGCGTGGGGATGCTGCTGGGCAAGCAGCCACTCTTTTGGGGCCACCAGCCATTCACCAGCCAAGACACTGCCCAGCCATGGGCCCCAGGGCCTGCAGGAGCACTCTGCTCTGTGGGAGACCCCACCTTGCTGTAGTGAGAGCCAACATCTGACCTTCTCTGAGGTCTGGCCTTTCGTAGCCTGCAAGAGGCCTTGAAGGTCTTTTCAATCTTGCCTCAGCTCTGGTTTAGCCAAGAATGAGTTTGAGGCTGGCTCCTGCATTGTGGCTCCCAGCCCTCTGAGAGAGCAGAGGGGCCCTGCCTACATGTGGGCTGGGTGAGAGGCTCCAGCCCAACATGGTGAGAGCAGGTTGGGCAACAGCCCTGCATTGTGCTTGGCGAAAAGTGAGGGGGATGAGCTGCAGTCTCCACCCAGTGATCCTGAAGTCCTGGGGTTTGCTAACAGCTCAAAAAGGCAGTGATGGCCTGTAAGGACCAATCCTGATGCCACACAATCTGTCTGGGATCTCAGGGGTATCTGGACACACACAGCCACTGCCCCAGGAGCAACCCATGCTAGACTGGGACTTATGTAGTCAGCCTGTGCCCACACTGCTCAATCCCCCACCCCCCAGCCACTGGGAACCAGTTGGCCAAGCCAGAGGAGCCCCTGGTCCATGCCAGCCCCCAGGCCCTGCAAGGACTGCCAGGAGCCTGTTGGTCAGCTTGAGCCCAAGTTAGGCCAGAAATGGAAGTAAAAACTGGATGAGTGTGTTCCCATTGGTGGGAACCTTCCCTGTCCCTGTTCACGCACCAGCACTGATGTAGCCCGGGGAACCCAGGCAGGAAACAGGGCCAGGAGAGCCGTGGTGGCAGATGGCAGAGAGCAGAGCAAGCTGCAGCCACCCTGCCACCACCTCACCCCACCACAGCCCCCTGGGGGGGTGTCTGCTGCAGGCAGGGATGTGCCAGCACGTGCCTCAGCTGGAGCTCAGCCTTCCCCCATGGGACCTCCCCTTCAGCCCCACTCCCAAGGCAGAGACATTTACCCTGCAGTGGCTGAGACACCCATCCAGGAATCAGCAGCTTTCCAGCTAGCCAAGGATCCATCTCCAAGGCAAGGGAGATGTAAAGCCCACATGGTGCTGAGCTCCCACTCCCAAGGGTGCCGAAGGGCACTGCACAGCTGCTCCACAACAAACCCATCCATCCACGGATGCAGGAGTTGGGCAGAGCATGCCAGCCTCTCCTGCCTGCATCTGCCCACAGCAGGGCCACCATGTCACCACTGGGGAAGGGAGCAGGCTGGGAACATCTCTCCATGGGGCACAGCTAACCAAGCAGCTCAACTCTCCTCCTCAAAACCAGGCAGCTACATCCGAAGCCGTGGGCTCTGCCTGCTCACCACAGGCAGCCAACATCATCTTCTCACACGGGACAAAACCCAGTGTTGGCACCTCAGACTTTGATCATTAATCATGCCTCCCTGCTGCTCTGATTGCCTGCTGGCTTTTATTGGGTTTTAGAGGAAGGTGATGATGATGATTATCCCCTGTGATCTCATGCCAGAGGTTCGAGGCAGGTCCCCACATGCTCTTTCACCAGAACACTCCTGGCCAGGTGTGGGGTGTGAACACAGGAGCCTGTGAGCCAGCTCTGCTTCACGTCCTCACCCGGCCCTGCTGTGCCAGGCAGGGAGGGAGGCAGGGAGAGAGGGAGACAGGGAGGGAGGGAGGCAGGCAGCCCCTCTGCCACCTCACCAACAGCTCATCAGGCCCATCTCTGCCCCTTGCTTTGGGAACAGGGTGCTGGCACCCCATGGGCAGTGGCAGGCACAGGATCCTCACAGGTCTCTGGGAAGCACAGCAGCTCTGGGGATGTAAGAGAGGTTCTCCTTGCTGCTGCCCAGGGAGAGCAGAGAGCATCTCCCACCCAGGAGGGTGCTGGCCTGGCATCTGTCCCTGCTGTGTCTGTTCAGCACCAATTTGGGTCACACTGATGGTCCAGCCAGGGGAAAAGAGCCGGTCCTTGGGGCTGCAGGGCAGGGATGGCAGCAGCTCCAGCACAGCAGCTCTCTCCAGCCACCCTGTGGCTGCTCGTTCCCAGCCTGTCTCACTGCCAGCTCCAGCTTATCTCAGCTCAAACTCATCCTGGCTCAAACTCATCCCAGCTCAAGATCCATCCTGGCTCGAGCCAGGCACGTCCCAGCAGCATCCACAGAAATAGTCACACATTGATGCATGATCAGGCCCTGCCTGTGAGCAGGGCTTCCCTAAACCTTGCCCCCCTTCATCTGTGCTCCTGCTTACAACACAGCAGCTCAAACACAGCTTCCCTAAGCTGCTGGGCTTGCAGAGTAGAGAGCATCCTGCAGACAAGGCCAGAAAGGTCATGTCTACCTCTGCAGAGCCTGTATTTGTCTTGGGCTGCTCAGCTCTGGGAGTAACAGCAATTTGAATGCTCTAAAAATAATTATTTTTCCTAGAGCAGTGGCTTTCTGGGAGGTTTTTCCAATGCTAGGCTGCCCTTGGGTGGGAGCAGCGATGGGATTAACCCTGGGATAGGTCTTCCTTTTCATCAAGCCCAGAAGAAGTACCTGGTCCAGCTCACCCCACGTTGTGCAAGGCTGTCCTGAGGATGGCAGGCAAAGTGGAGGACAAGGCAAAACCTCCCTCCTCTACTTACTCACGCTCAGCCACAGGCACAAAGGTCTTGCTCTGTCCTCAATCCACCTGGCAAGGCTAAGCCACCCAGAGAGACTCTCCACGCTGCCACTCCATGCCTGTAACCCTGCCCCATGGATTGGCAGCCACGGGAGGGCTGGCCCGCCTGCTTGTGAAAAGCCACAAGTATCCCCATGGCACATGTGCCCACAGAGGGGGGGACAAGCCACACGTGGCTGCAGCCAGCCTGCTCAGGCCCCCACGTGGTGCTCCCCACACACAGACACCCACACAGGCAGCACACGTGTGTGTGCCTGCAGCTCCAGATGCAGATAAGGCAGCTCTGGGAAAGCACTACATAGATCCACAACTCTCTCCACTGCCGGCACCACAGGGAACCAGGGACCCTCCAGGCACTGGCAGGGCTCTGCTGCACCAGGGCCAGGCTGTGGAGCAGCCTGGTTTGGCAGGATCCAGCAACTGGGGCCGTGTGGTAGGACAGGAGGGGCAGAAGATGGGATTTCCCTGCCTGATACCACAGCAGGGACATTGTCCCCGTGGCCCAACACCAGACCCAGGGGAGGGTTGGGTGTTGGCTGGTGCTTCTTGGCCTGTCTCCCACCTCCTGCTTCTCCGAGGGGACCTGGCAGCACAACCTGATAGGATAGGCAGGGAGAGGAGCCAGCTCTGGCTGCTGAGGGGGCCAAGGCCACCCCTCTGGGGACAGCCTGTGTTACTGGGACAGCTGCTGCCGGCTCGTCGGCTTAAACTGCAGCCACAAGGGGATCAAGTGTGGACACTGGGGAAAGTTTCTGCACGTAGGAGGGTGAAGGGTAGGAAGAGCTTCCCTGCAGGGTGGGGTACCTGCTGGGCTCCTCCAGCTCATGCTGCGGATAGACTGACCTGCAGGTCCACCACAAACACCTTTGGACTGTTGGTTGAGGAATATCAACCTCTTGAGTCTTTACCCAAGAGGGAACAATGTCCAAGCCAGGGGGGAGGGGGTGTGGGGATGCACAGAGCAACGCTTGGGACAGACAAGAGCAGCAGCACATGTTGAGCTCTGGCAAGGCTGGGGACACCAACTCCAGCAGCTGCCACGGGATGCCAGTAGCTGGGCTCTGCTTGGTGCCTGGGAAGCACGGCCACGTTGGAGCAGGTGAGTAGGAAAGCTGGAGGCCAGCAAAGAGCTTAGGCAGTGCTGGCAGCTTTCAGGCAGCAGGCAGGGATACCAACCTGTGGCAGAGGAGCCCAGGGTGCGTCCGGGATAAGCTGTTAGCAGGGGACACGGGGAGAGAGAAAAGGTTCCGTGAGTCGAAGGAGGGACGCGGCTGCCTGGGGCTGGCCCAGGCCCAGGAGGGAGCTGAAGACTGAACCCGGCCTTCTCGTGGGCAGGAAAAGCCAGTGATGGCCATTCCCAGCAGGAGAGAAGGAGTTACAGTCTGTCAGCAACGAGACCCGCAACTGCTAGGACAAGCAGGAACCCCAGTCTGCCCCATACCCCAGGGGGGTGAGTTGGGGGAGCAGCCCCAGGGGAGCTGCTGTGACCCAGCCAGCACCCCAACCCTCCTGCCCTGCTCCCTGCAGTTATTGCCTTCCCCAGCAATGCTCACCGAGCAGAGGGAGCCCAACAAGCTGTGGTTAGGGCAGCAACCAACCCCAACGAGTGTCCTGACCATCCTGTTTGTGTGGTTACCCGTGCCCAGCTCTGGGGTGGCTGGTGATGGCAACTGGGAGCCCATTCCCTTATCCAGGCATGCTAATCAGCACAAATACAGTAATTAGGGTCACCAGCATGCACCCCAAACTGGCATGACCTCACAGCACACTTCCCATCACCAGGCTGGGAGAGTCCCTTACCCCTGAGCTAGGGACAGTCCCTAGATGGTGACCCCACTGTCATCAAGCACACAGGGGGGCCCAGCCAGAGCGTGCACCCACCCACGGGGGATGGCAGAGCAGAGACAAGGGAGGAAGGAAGGGTGGCAGGCAGGGAAAGGAGGTGGCACCTGCCAGGCTTCAACACGCTGTAAGCAGAGAAGGGGGGGGGGGGGAGTGAGTTTTCTGGGGTGCACCCCAACAATTCCAAGCCTTAGGTTGGTGGTGGCAGTCCCAGCTCCCCTGGGACAGGTGACTGGTGTCTTTGCAAGCTGCTGGGAGCAGAGGGGCTCCGTGGATGACACCGGCTGGTGTGCCAGCAGAGCCGATGGGAAGGGAGACAAAATGGAGGGCTGCTGTGTAATGGAGGGGCAAAGGTGCCTGCAACAGCACCCCTCTGGGTTGGCTTACACCTCCAAAGGTCACACAGATTCCATGACAGGCCTGCCCTGCTGCTCTCCCAGCTGTCCCGCTCCTCCCAGCCACCTAAGCCCGCAGCTCTGCACCCTCCAGCCTCCCCCTGCCCCAGGGTGGGCACAGGGGGGAGCCTGGGGCATCTCCTGGCTGGCAGGGCCACCAGCAAGGCCAGGAACCTGCTCAGGGTCACCATGCAGAGGAAGAAGTTGAGAAGGCTCCTTCAGCCCTACCATATCCTAACCTGCTTTGTAAAGCCAAGCCAAGGAGGGGGGGGTGTTGTCTCTGGGCCAGCTCTCTAACTAATTTGCAGATGTCTCTAATAGCACAACTAATGAGGGATTGGGAGAAGCTGGATCTGGTGGTGGTGCTTTTCTCAGGAGCTGGGAGGGAGGAAGCCAGCAGGGACCTCAAAAACACTTGTATCATCCCAAGAAGAGAGGAGAGGTGGCTGCTTGAGTGTGGGATGGCCAAAGGGCAGGGTGGGATGTCCTGGGCACTGGGAATGGGAGCTGGGGGGCTGCATCCTCTGCCAGTGAACAGCAAAGGGAGAGTTGGAGGCTGGGAACCCACCAGCTGCCCCTGTAACCCCAAATGTTCTCCTGCCCATTGTCCCAGGTCGAGGTGGTAGTAAATGCAGGTGCCTGCGCTGCCATCAGCACAGAGCAAGGCAGCTCAGGGATGAGACTGGGGTCTTCTTGACTGTGAGCTCCAGGATGGAGCCAGCTGGGACAGGTCATGACTGTCCTGTCCTCTCTGCATGGTGGCACTGCTGAAGAGCCTGTGGGGCTGCACACTGGGCTGCCAGCCCTAAGGCTCCTGGTGCTCCTTTCCCAGCAGTGGCAGTGCTGTGCTGGCTGTCTGAGGGAGGGAATGGGCCAGCACCCTGAGGGGGGTGACAGCAGCTGGGGGGTGACAGTCTCTAGGCCACCACTCCCATGTTGGCTGCAGGTGGGTGTGATGCTGTGACCCCACTCAGTGACCCAGCCACTTGGTGAGCAGGTTGTGGTCCCCAGGTGCTGGGAAGTAGCAGAGAGTGAGGCAGGCACAGGCAGCAACACGTACCTGGCTGTGGGAGGCAGCTGGGGACAGCACCTGCTTTAGGACACCTACAGATGCCCCCTCCAGAACCCCTGAGTGGGGGGTAGACAATGCCCAGTGTACTCTGTGTCTTTGAGGGGACAGGCAGGACTGTGCAGTCCTGTCCCATGGGTCACTTGTGCTCCCTACCAGTCCTAAGCTGGAGATGGGCTGGCTGGGTGTGGAGACATTCCAGCCTGCTTCCATAATGCCTGACATGGATTTAGGAGTTGTATTTAGGGGGAGATGTAAAACAGGAGTTCTGCTCTAAGGTGGGTGTGCCTTGGGAGGAGGGGGTTTGCCAAAATGAACACACCAACACCACGTGCTGGTGGAGCAGGGTCCAGCTGCAAAAGGAAGGTCTGTAGAGGGTGTATGTAGGTCCTGTCTCACCAGAAGAGAGGGCATGGCTGGAAATCTGGGAAGGGAGACAGAACTTAAGGGCAAGAAGGGACCCTGGCAGGAGGCTGATAGGGGCATGTACCTCCTGGGCACAGGCAGCAAGGACTCCTGCCTCCCCTGCCAAGGCACAGGGGGCATTTGACCCTGGCCTGGAACAGGGCTTGAGTAGGGCCTCACAGGGGAGTTCCCCCTGTGAACAAGGACCTTGGACTTGGCTTGGACTTGAGCAATCTATGCTTGGAAAGTGAGGTTGCTTCTGTCACATTGGTCACAAGAGCTTCCTGTAGTATGGAAGCATCTTGGGGCCAGGGTTGCACCCTGCTCTTCTGGAGGGACACGTGTGGTGCTGGGGCTCAGCCCAAGCCCATGCCTGTGGTCAAAGGGACCTGCCTACCTGATCCAACATCTCTATGATTGCCAAGGGCTGGAAACTCTAACTCCCAGGATGTGTTAAGGCTGCTGGGCTCGCAGGATACCCTGCCCACATGGCTGTGTCCCACGTGGAGCAGGAGGGATGCCAGCTCCTGCCACCCCCAGGAAGCTCATCCCCAGTCTTGAGAGGTCCTAAGCTTCCCTGCCAAGCCTGTTTCACTGGGCCATGATCTCTGCTTGGCAGAGGGACAGGGCACTGGTGCTGAGCAGGTGGAGGACCCAAAGCAGGCAGGGTTGAATGCTCAGTCTACACAGATGGACCTGACAGCAGATGGGCTAGGGCAGATGCAGGAATACCTGCCCCTGGGGGTCACTAGGACATGTCCTCTAAACCCAGCATGTTGGTGGCCTTCTTGGGAAGCTGCAAAGGAAGACAAACTATCCAAGCATTTCTAAGATCTGCTCTCTGTGCTGTTGCCTGCATCCCAATGACCTGGTGGTGCTGGAGACCTCAGGGCCCATGGCATTACCTGTGATCTCGTGCTGCCTCAGCTCGTTGTATCTGTAGGACTGTTCCAGGGGCTTGATGGAGGAGTGGTAGATCTTCCTCAGCCGCTGCAGGACTCCTGAGGGCCAGAAACATGTGCATGGGTGAAAGAAAAACCACACCACCCTGGCTGAGCTACCCCTAAGGAAGCTGCTGGGCCTTCCCTGCAGATCTTGAAGGAGACTATCTGCAGAGCAAGGGACTCTCTTGTAACCTGGGCCAAGCTGCTCCCAATCACACCTTTTTATGCCCCTCCCTGCTAATAAGTATTTCCTGCTGGGCACTGTCCCCACCTGCTGCTGATCTTTTGTTAATGCTGCTTAGCACTCAACACCCATGATCCCAAAAGCTCTCCACCGTGGAGCCAGGGCCCCATGGCACAGCCCCTAAGCTGCTGACTAGAAGAAAAAAAGGAGCTTTTTTTTTTTTCCACAGGAGCTTTTATCATTTTCTTTCCAGTCCAGCCTGCCTGTGGAGCCAGCAGAAGCCAGCCTTGTGATAGCAATGCCCAATAAATAGTTGGAATAATAAATCCAAGCCCTTTATTACAACTTGTCCCAGGTCTCTCTGGGCACCAGTGGGACTGTCTTGAACTGAGACACCATCTGCATTTTCTCGCCTCTCTTAATTCTTGTACTGCTTGGGACTGTCTTTGAAAAACCTAAAGTATGTTAACTGAAGAGCTGCAAAGGGACTGTTATTGAAAATCATAGAATCCCAGACTGGTTTGGGTTGGAAGGGACCTTAAAGACCATCCAGTCCCACCCCCCTGCATGGGCAGGAACCCCTCCCACCAGCCCAGGTTGCTCCAAGCCCCATCCAACCTGCCCTTCAACGCTGCCAGGGATGGGGCAGCCACAGCTTCCCTGGGCAACCTGGGCCAGGCTCTCACCACCCTCACACCAAAGAATTTCCTCCTCATGTCCAACCTCAATCTCCCCTCTGTCAGTTTCAATCCATCCCCCTTGTCCTCTCCCTCCCTGCCCTTGTCCCAAATCCCTCCCCAGCTTTCCTGGAGCCCCTTCAGGTATCAGAAGGCTGTGGAATCTGTGGTGTTTCCTGGGCTTACAAGCAGTAAAGTTAAATCCAAACGGCTCTAGGGAAGGGAAATCCCTCTCATGCTGTTGGTGCAGCAGAATGGGGAGGAGGCTGCCCTGCCTGGGCTGAAGGAGCAGGACACCATGGCTCAGTGCCACCCAGGGCCCCTCACCTGAGACGTCATCGGTGGGTTTCTCCTCGTTCAGCTTCAGGGTGTTCTCCAAGTGGGACCGGTCGCGCTTGGTCGGCTCGCTGGCATCTTCAACCTCTTCTGGAGGAAAAGGCAAGGAGACGCGTTACTGCTGGAGCTTGGCACTCCCCGCAGAAGCTCAGACACACCAGCGGGAGGGCATGGGGGAGCACACACCCCCCAGAGCCCCTGCGCCCGCCGTGCAGCTCCCGTCGCCCTGGGCACAGCTCCGGGGGCAGAGTGACGGGCACTGCTCGGCTCCGAGGAACCCGTGCCATGTCTCCCGAGGAGGGGGGCAGCGAGGGCGGCCGCTGGTTGGGAATGCGAAGGATGTGGCAGGAGGGGGCTGCTGGGGGGAGGGCAAGCACACGGCAGCTGCTCCCCCCGGCAGCTGCGGCTCCTCGGGGGGCTCAGCCCCGACCCGTCCGCTCCCCGAAAGTCACACACGCAGCAGGATGAGCGAGGCCGGGGTTGGCTCCTTGAGAGACCCATCTTAGCCTTTGCCAGCGGGGTCGTGCTCTCCCTCTTCTCCCACCTCGGTGTGTGGGGCCCTGGCTCGGGGTGGCCATGGGGACCCCACACCCCTGTGCCTGGCCCAGGGGATGTAAGGCAGCTGGTGTCCTCACCCTGGAGGAGCAGCCTCTGAGTGTAGCAGGAGCTGGGTCAGGCTTTGGTGGAAGTTTGGGGACAGGTCTGGGGACAGGTGTGGGCTGGCTGGGCTGGGGATGCCAGGGCCAAGCAGGCACTGCTGAGCCCCGGGGCTGTGCTGAGTGTCCACCAACTGCAGGGCTGAGGAAGACCTTTTGACTTGCCAAGTAAAGCCACAGAGACCAAACTGGGTTTCCCTTTCGGCACAAACGGGAACTTTTCAAGCTGGGGTGTTAGAGATGAAAGCAGAAAGAGACTCAGCTGGGTCCAAAGATCACAGCCCAAGCCATGGGCCAAAGTCCACAAGGGTTTCTAGGAAATCATGATGGGGGGGGGTGTCCCTTCTCCTTAGCTGACCTTTCACTGACCAAGTGTGACCAGAGTCGGTGTTTCAGCAACTTGTGGGGCTGAACGAGCTCTTTGCACCTTTCCTACAAGGCAAGAGCTGGTGGACAAGAGACCCACCAGCCCAGGCACCATCCCACCCTTCCAGAGAGGGGTTCCAGAGGACTCTGAGGGAGGAGGATAAAGAGCCTTTAAGAGGTCTGAGGGTGGAGGATGAAGAGCCTTTAAGAGGTCTGTGGGTGCCGAAAGGGACCTGGGCCTTCAAAATCTTATCCACGTCCGCAGTCAAGAGGAGAAAACATGAGCTTAAAGTGCAGCAAGGCCATCTTTGGAATGGCTGCCAGGGGCTCCTGCCTGCGCCCGGTGCCCGCGGCGGCCCGGTCGTGCAGCAGTTAGGGCCAGGCACGGGAAGCACAAGCGTTAGGAGGGGGCCATGCACGAGGTTTAATGTGCCAAGCTCAGCCCCACCAGGTTGATAGTAGGTCACTCTTGCTGCTACAGCACACCGACAAGACAAGACTCCAACCTATCTGGCTGTGCTGGAGCTCGGAGGCAGCTGGGTGGGTGCTGTGGCCTGGTGGGCTCTCTGTTGCCAGTGATGGATTGTCTGCAGGGGGGTCTTCTACTGCCGGGGGGTTTTGTGCTGTTGGTGGGTCTTGTGCTGTTGGTGGGTCTTCTGCTGCTGGAGGGTCTTGTGCTGTTGGTGGGTCTTCCACCACTACCTGCGGGTCTTCTGCTCTTGGGGGGTTTTCTGCCACTGCTGGTGGGGGATTTTCCACCACTGCCGGGGGGTCTGCTGCTGCTGGAGGATCTTCTGCCACTGCCTGTGGGTCTTCTGCTGCTGCTGGGTCTTCTGCTGCTGCTGGCGGGTCTTCTGCTGTGTCCCCACAGGGCGGATGGTGGCAGCTGGCAAGACCTTCCTTCTCGTCAGCAGCTGCTGGTTTGCCATGGCCCTTTTTGCTGGAACTGCCAGCTGTTGCCTTGTCACTCCCTTCAGCTCCATTCTCTGGCCCTGCCGGCCCGGCACCATCTTCCTCAGACTCTCCCTCCTCCTTGGACTCTCCCTCCTCTTTGGACTCTTCCTCAGACTCCCCCTGCTCATCATCTTCCTCCGAGCTCTGCTCGCCCCCTTGCTCTCCCCCCTCAGGAACAGACACTGCTCTTGACTCCTCCATTTTCTCTTCCCTGGGCTCCTCAGAGGCTCCTCTCTCTGCGCCAGGCTCCTCATCCCTCCGGGAGCCATCTTGTGAGCCAGGCCCGTGATCCCCTTCATGATGTGCTGCCTCCAGGGTGCCCGACACAGCATCCCCCCCTGGGCCCTCCTGGCCCTTTTCTGTGGTGGTTTCCTCTGGCTGGCCAGCCCCTGGCCCCAGCTCCCCTCTCAGGCCACCCGCCGGCTCTTCCTCCCCCTCTCCACGTCCCCCAGCGGTGTCGGGCGCGGAGGTGTTGGCCAGGCTGCCATCTTGGTCCCCCTCAGGGCTGCGCTTGGCTGCCTTCTCCTCCAGCCT